TTATTTTTATTATTATATTACTTATTATCCTAAAATTATATTATAGATATTTTATTTATTATATTTATAACTTGTTAATAATTTATATAATTAATATACTATTAGTAGAATTCTAGGAGATATGCCCGTTTGCCCTTACTAAAATCAGACCATGCTTACTTTAAGCATTGATAAAATGGGAGTCAGATTTAGAGTTTGCACCCACTACGTTGCAAGATTTGTGCTCTAATTATCAAATCCATGTAAATAGATAGTTCTAGATTCAGTGAAATTATCTGCATAGCTTAACTTGTACTTATAATCGCACTTGGCACTGTAATAGTGTAAATTTTTATGATACAATATTAAAAAAAATTGCATGATAAATATTTATATGTTAAGACTTACCTAACAGAAAGTTATTTTATTTCTTATTTTTATATGGATTTATTTTATGTTCTAATTCAGAAGAACTTCGATTATATGATCATAGTTTATTCTTACTTATTTGGACAGTACCGGTAAAGAGTGCAGGAGAAGACACAGGTGGGATGAATGCAAATCTTAGAAATCTTTTGATCGCTGTTTTCTATTTATCAATGGCTCAGATCTCGGATCGTGATGAAAATTCTCGCAATCATTATTCATGTATTCAGGTATCCTATTCTGTCTCAGTTTTGCATACTCTAGAATTTTTTACTTACATTTAATCTTCTTTTCTTTCTGAAAAGTAGTAAAAAATTGTTTTATTAGCCTACTTCTGATAAGGAAAGCTTATGAAAGAAAATTATTTATATTCCTATAGTATAAATCTGAATTATTAGATGTGAAATAATCTATTAAACTTTATGCATCAGTTAATATGTTGTTGAAAAAACCTTACTCGATTGCAGATTGAAAAACTGGAAAAAATCACAGTTATGAGTAGTTTTGCATTACATTATACTGGGTGATTAAAAACTAGAGGAACAAACTTTTTGAAAAGGTAAGGTATATCTACAGGACTCAGTTACATAGCAGTGCAGGGTGAGAAATACTATTCTAACGAGTTACGCGAGATATTAGATACAGCCGCAAGAAAAGTCGACAGCCACTCGCAGATGTGTTAGGAGAGAAAATGTGAATACATTGGGATTGCAAACTGATATTTAAGGGACATAAGCTTAAAATAAGTCATTGCCTTCTTGCTAATGATGTTGCCTGAAGTCGGAACCGCGTGGAACGTGGCACCGCATGGTACTGCATGGAATCTCGGATGATTTAAAACACGCTGGAGATCTCCCGAAAGTTCCCGGTAGCCACAAAGATGTGCCATTTCAAAACGCACAAAACGTCCAAGCTTTCAAAATGTTTAAACGTTTCATACGTCCATGCCTTAGGCCACGTTACGAAATTTCGGGACCTTCATTAGCAGCAAAGTCTTATATTTATGGTCTTTAAATGTCAGTTTGCGTTCACGATGAATTCCAACAAATTTTCTCCCTACCATCTCTGATCAGCTGGAAGATAAACAAGGATCCAGGAATGACAAGCCAATAATGAGTGGAAAAACTCTTTATTTAAAATAACTCTTTACTTACAATACATATACACTTTCAGTTTCACAAGTACTAAATGTTCCCACCATTCACCCTGTGTCTTTTTAGGATTTTATTTCGGATCTTATATTGCCATATGATTCTGTGTCGTCTATATGTACCCTACCGTTCTTGAAGTTTATTGCTCTAGTTTTGAAACACCCTGTATACGCATTATATTATTACCTACTCGTTTTACTGAACAGCGCAGTTAAATATTGAAATAAAGTTCTTAATTTTTGAAATAATATTTTGCTTGAAAAATAGTATTTTACACGAAAGAATTATATTTTAAATACAAAATTCGGTTTTAAATCACCCTGCTCACATATAATTCTGAACATCTATTTTATTATGAAATTTGATAGAAAATTAATCGTTTTTTTATACCTTGCATGGCATATATAGTTATTTTTGGCATACAGATTTAGAGATTTAATAGTTCTTGAGTAGACTGACACAGGCAAAAGATAAGCAAAAGATTATGGCATAGATTAGAGAGTTTCTAAAACATTAGTCATTAATAACAGAGTTATTAATGACTAATGTTTTAGAATAGGCATAAATTAGAGTGTTTAGAGAACCAACTGCATTGTTGTATACACATTGACATTAATTACATACATTCTTGTATACACGCATATAATTGTTTTACAATTAAAAATACACACATCATTTAGTTTTCTCATATTATCGTACAAATATATACCAAAAATATAAGTGATCAGCTCATCTCTATCATGTAGAAGCTAATATTTTCTTTTAATTAAATGCCTCCTTAAAACAGCTTGACAATCTCCACGTAGGTAGTTTAACATATTTCCACCTAATCAGGAAGGAAAGATTACTCTAAATAAAGATACTTTAAAAAGACTTTGGATTTGACAGAACAGTACATACATAATGTTTATAATTTAAATTAAAATAATCATTTTAAGTTCAGAATATAAAAATAAATACTTAAAGCTAATTAAAATTTGGTTGAATACCAGAAACAATGCTTTTCACAAGGACGTCAAGTTTGTGAGCCATACATTACCTAAAAACTAATGATCATTTGTAGAAATGGCAACGCCTAGAAAGGTATGCCTTGTTTTTGCGAATGAAGATTTAGCAAATCTATTCAAGTTGAAAACCTATGCAAGTAAATCAATATACTTTTCAATTTCAATCTAAAAATTTTTCCTCCTTTGAAGTATTTACATTAAACAACCATGTAATTTTTTTATGATTCAGAATTGTTTTCTATTATTTATGGCCATTCGTATATAGTATTATTAAATTGTAGTCAAAATAAAAAAAATAATGAGTTATGTTTTATTGTGTTTATGTAACAACTGATTAGTAATATCATTTACCTTTCGCATAATGAACTTTAGCTGAAATCCCAACAACTATTTGCATTACTTAAACTAATTGGTAAAGAATAATGAGTCCCCGCTTCGTTACATGCTTACATCTTCGTTACATCTTGGAGATCTAACCAGAAAAATAAATGGTTTAATTATTGGTTATCAGTATATTAAGAAAATGAATTCTAGAATGTTTCTGATTTATTGCTGTTCTAACACGAGATCGATCAAATAAATAATTGTACTCTTCTAGGTGATGCTTAATGAGTTCGCATATTGGGTTGTAAATATTGCTATCAACGTAGATATTTTATCAATTAACGTGTCATTTATTAAAGGTCAAGTTATTAATTTTTCAAGACAAATCTTCTATTAATCATTCTATTTCTTAATTAATTAAAAATGCAACAGATTTATCTGAGCATTATTGTTGCAGTTCCTTAAATAACGGATTCTATACAATACATTTGTAATATTTAATCTATTTAATAGACATATATGCGATTGATACATCTTCAAGTTCATTCCTTTTATACTAATTCTCATTTTAAAAATTTAAATATAAATTACGATTACTCTATAATTAAGATAAAATTGAACTATACGTATTAATAATACATGCAATCCCTAGTTCATGGAGGATATTAGACATTTCGCAGTGAAAGATTAAGAATCTATTATCCCCCTGCACCAGAATCAAAACGCGGATCATTTAGTTACTGGTTGAATGCGAATTGCATGTAAGAAGCCCATAGGGGAATGCCCTAATTCCTTAGATTCTCTCCCACTTAATAGATGAATGGTAATGGATTTAATACACAGATATCCAAATCCAGATGGTAAAGAATTGTTGCCCAGTTTTCAATTAAAACGACCCTGATGAGTGCAATAAGCTTTTTGCGGTAAGAAATGTCCAAAACCAGCTGCCTCCTCACTGACAGTCAAGCCACAGATCTCCCTCCCTTCAGCTTTGGAAAATTGTATTGTCAATTGTTTGGCAATCTTACAGGCTGTCATGGATCAATATTAATGTCATGGATTAATATTAACTTATCATACATAGTTTTACCCTTTGTTATAATGGTTATTGAGGCTAGCTTCCGTACCGCTGGATCCCGGTTCGAATCCTGGAGAGTGAAAGTATTTTTGTAAATGTATAGTCTCAATACAGCATGGGGGCACTTAAAGTACTGAAGTCCTCTCGTCTGCTTTTGTAGTACGGGAAGAAGGGTGGGAGATCTTAGGATCCTTCTCCGAGGTCCTTCATCAAAATTGGAGCCAAACCTGTTCACTTAGTAGTGGGGAACTATACCTGTAAGTACAAGTCTAAATGGGTCTGGTTGCCACCAAAGCCATCACACAACTTCGAAATGAATACGCAAATCTTTATGATTGTTCAGCTTAAAGGCATCTCATCTCTCCCTAGTGCAATGATGTAAGAGCTCTCCTATGAGTATTACTTCGAGACATTAGAAATGCTCTTTAACTTGATAGCTTGGTTCTGTCGGCCAATAAAATGCCCTACAATGAGAAAGAATTAAGAATGGCTGCTTAGGCTACTATTAGAGAAAAGTTACCAACAACGCATTGTTTGCTTGTGTACACCGATGATTCTGCTAATAGTGGTAAGGTGCTAATAGCAATGCTGGTCCGGTGGTTTACTCTCTGCACTTTAGCTTTAGTGAGGCTGTTGGGGCAAATTATACCAACTATGTGAAGTTGTGTTGAAGTGGCTGCTGCCCAATTGCCTTGACCGAAATCAGTAAAAGAGATGATCAGAACAATGTGATATTTATTGATTCACAGGCCACAATTAAAGCAGTTTTGTCAGTCATACTTTCAAACAGTGGGTCTGTTCTAAATTGTTAGCGTGTTTTCTAATAAATAATGGTCGCGTTACTCTTCAATGGGCCTTAAGTCATTATATGAAATAATGGGTAATGAGTTTGCTACATTCTGGTGAAGGCTGAATATATCCTTCCTCAACCCAGTCCTCTATTTGGTATCACAGTGCTAACAGAGGGCCATATGTGGAGCTCATCTTTAAGAGAAAAATAGGGATTCTATGAAGGGGAAGATTTAGGTCTCCCTAATGGAGAATTCCCATTTGTGCGACCTATTTAGAACAGTCGGTGTCTCTAACTTTAGATTAAAAACTGGAGATGACTACCTCATGAAACAACCACACAGATTTGGTTTAGCAGACTCTCCATCTTGCCCATTATGTGATATTGACGACATGAATGATGACCATTTGGACACTTGTTCTTCATTTAATGACGTGACAACGGCTAATGCTCTGAAAAATTATCGTACTTTTTTAATGCTTGTGAATTGTATTGAGCTACTTGTCACAAACTAAAGGCGATCATGCGTCTGGGGAAGGATTAAAAAGTCTTTATATTTTAGATTGGGTGCAATGTTTAACTTCTTGTGTTTACTGTCAATAAGAAAAAGGAATCACAACTTCCGCTAATATTAAATATGATAGTTAATTTTCTCATAGTAGAGTAAAACTGTATTAACATTTTAAATGATATAGAAGAGAAAAGAAAATGGTAAGAGATACACCAGGGAAAGAAAGAAAATCTCGACAGATGCATATGTGTTATTTTATGATCATAAATACTAAACATTTTGGGAAAATAGAAATGCATATTGAATTGAAATTTTGAATAACCAGTATAAATTATTAAACTCATTTAAATTTCATTTTTGAAATAATTTTAATTCCTAAATACAAAAAGCTGCTATATATGATTTAGTGCACAGCCTAAATTAATAACGTCTTAAGCGTTACGCCTAGCTGTAATAACTCTGACTCAGGGATAGTCAATCTTTTACTTAGCCACAACTTAGGGCTACTTACATGAAATTCAAGAAAGTCTACTCTGATGACCTAAAAATGGACCATTTGACACCTGTATAAGCAGTTCGGTTATCATCTTGTAATTAAAGCCAGGAAGGATCTACAAGATCAAAGTTATGGTTGTCGTAAAAAAAAGTTTTTTAACCTTATCTAAGCGACATTCCCAAAAATGCCTTATTCTTTTTGCTGCAAAATCATAGTGCCTTATTTTCTGTTACTTTATTTACACATTTTGTTCTGTGTGTTCCCGGGAAAAATATTCTTCTCTTCAGCGGATGTGGCTCGTATCTTATATCCTGAAGTGGTCGAACGAGGGAGAGGGTGCGGGCTTAAATTTGAAAAGGCAGGCAGTTGGATAATTTTTTAATAGTTATATTTTCCAACTTAAATAATTTGGAAAGCAAATATAAATGGCGAAAAATATGAGGCACTAATTGTAATTTTTTTAGAAGAATGTTATCCATATTTTTATTTATTACTTATTTAAAGATTCCGAGATCTCACCTTAGGCAATATAGCAGAAGACACTAATTACTACGATGAAGTAAAAGTCTTGATTCATCTTCTGTATAAAGCTTCGGGTGAACCGGTCGCTTCAATGTCAAACTTATAGTCTATTGCCTCATCCTATGTAGAACGACGGAGGAAAATTCATATCTTTTATTATGGCTAGCATAAACGAAATTGGGAGGTTATTCGCCTGTGTGTTTGGTAGCAATTATCAAGTTCAATCTTCTTGTCAAATCGTGGTGAAGGCTAAGTAAAGTCCGACTATGAAGGCAGGTTGGGCTACTATTAGTACAAATGTAACGTCTGGTCACTGGGAATTCAGAAACTCAGCGACTGGCTGGAGGTAAGAAGAGTGATAAAACTAATGCAGGCATTGATTGTTGAGCAATAAGACTTTTTTCAGACCATATACATTTTAAGGAAATAACCGAGTAATTTTGGTTTTTAAGTTTGCAAAACTCGATTTTAATTTTGCAGGAGCTGAATTATGAATTAAACGCATAGATGCTTTTTTTTTTCCTGTGTTTAAGTTGTGAAATCTTTTGTATGGTGAAACCTCTAATTGTCACCTCTACTAATTTAATGTTATTTTGGATTGAGATGGATGGAAATCCACTGATGAAAACTTCAATTGGTCTATAGACCTTTATATTAGTAATATAATGTTCAGCATCGATCTGACGAAGGAATTATACTTAGATATTGAGGTCATTTGAAGGCAGATTTTTAAGGTTTTCATCGGTAACTTTTTCCAGAAATTTAGCTGCTGCGCTTTGAACTAATTTGCTTAGAAAACTCTAATGGGAAAGTAATCCAGGACTAACCTTTATTGGTAGTATCGAAGAGTGGGTATTCATAGTAGATTCTTGTTGTCGCTCTGGTATCATTCTTCAGGATCTGCGAGAACTGTCTAAAATTTCAACTATATTTACAGGCTGAATTACTAGTATTGCGTTCATTCAGTTTAGAGTGTTTGCACGGTTTAATGGCTGATAGAAGTAAATCTTGTTCCGAATAAATGTGGGTTCCTTCTCGTTTTTAATTTTATGTTTAGCAGTCCTATTGTTACGTAGCGTATTCGGAAACTAAGTACTGTTTCATTCTAGCGCCGTCGCAGCGCTGTGGTAGGCGTCCCGCGCATGCGCGGGATGGTTGCTCGATGTTGTGTTTTCAGTTTGCTGTGAATATTCAGAATGTTTAAGACAATTATTTCTGCCGCTGACTGTGAGATTCGTGCCGTGATTAAAGTTTTGAACGCGAGGAATGTTAAACCAGCCGAAATTTATCGTCAAGTGACAGAAGTTTACGGTGAATACGCGATAAGTGATGGAATGGTGAGAAAGTGGGTAAGAATGTTTAATGCAGGTCGAATAAATGTCCACACCGAGGCTCGGAGTGGTCGGCACTCTGTTGTCACCGATGATTTGGTAAGGAAAGTTGATGAAGCAATTCATGAGAACAGACGCTTCACAATGACAACTCTTTCAGAGGCATTCCACAAATTTTCACGTACTGTTTTGTTCGGAATTATGTCTGACCGCTTGAATTATCGCAAACTGTGTTCCCGATGGTTCCAAAAATGCTCACTGATGTTCACAAAACAAAGCGACTTGGTAGTGATCTGACATTTCTCACGCGGTACAGTGATGAGGGAGAAAACTTTTAAAACCAAATTGTGACAGGTGATGAAACTTGGATGTGTCATTTCACACCAGAATCGAAACAACAATCGATGGAGTGGAGACAAACTCATTCTCCGAAAAAACAAAAGTGCAAAGTGACAATGTCATCACAAAAAATCATGTACACTGTCTTCTGGGATAGGAAAGGCGTTTTGCTTACTTAATTTCTTCCCAGAGGTGAAACCATTAATGCGGCACGATATTGTGAGACTTTAACAAAACTAAGGCGTGCCATTCAAAACAAACGAAGAGGAATGCTCAGTAAAGGAATTGTGTTGCTCCATGACAATGCTCGGCAACATACTGATGGTGTCACTTAATCGTTAATTTGACAGTTTCATTGGGAGCAGTTCAATCACCCGTCGTACAGCCCGGACTTGGCGCCGTCTGACTAAAACTTGTTCCTGCACATGAAGCGCGAGCTTGGTGGCAAGCGCTTTGGATCTGACGATGACACGAAAAATGCTGTGGAGTCGTGGTTATCGAAACTGGCGGGAAGTTTCTTTGACGATGGTATACAAAAACTGGTCACCCGCTATGACAAGTGTTTGATCATTGGCGGAAACTATGTTGAAAAATAGTTTAAGACATCTATTTTCATGTAAAAATAAAATTGGATTCGAAAAAATTGTTTTACTATTTTTATTTTTTTCAAAACAGTACTTAGTTTCCGAATACGCCTCGTAGAAGTTTTGGATATATCAATAATAGTGGAGGGACAGCCTGCAGTATTATGAAAACTTAAACTCACAGGTTTTAAGATTCTTTCTTGATGAGAGGAATCTGTTCCTTTAAGGCTCGATGGCCGAAGTATGAGTGGAAGCAGAAGATCTCTTAGTCATGACTTGTAAAGCGATTTTCAGGATCGTATGAAATGAATTTAATTCTTTCATATGTCTTGTTAGTATCCGCCGCTATACCAAATCGTAGTCTATAGCGAAGTCCTCATAATTAGCCCCGTCATCGTCAACTATAGTTAAAACGGTGTTGCCCTTAACCGAGTCGAAGGAGTTGGACTCACTCATAAGCAAAAACGGAAAACTCTTTCACACTCAGCATCAGAAGGCAGAACCAATCGAAAATAACTTCGGTGTAAAAATCTTGATTGTATATGTGTATCCTTTCCTCCCTCTCGGACATGCTACCTCAGTCTAGAAGGGTAGTCTAGAAAGAGTACCTCAGTGTAGCTCCTGTGTTGAACCCCGGGCAAATATCTTAATAATGAAACAGTTAAATGATTCCTTCGTTCGATCATTCACGGCGAAAACTGTCACCAAGGATCACAATATGCGATCCTCGCCACAAAAAAATTACTTTCGAAATTCCAAGAATACTGCAATTTAGTAATTGTATTCCATACTCAATTCCCATCAAATTATCAAGAGGAAAATTGTTCAAGGAATGCACTGAGTTACGATAAACAATGTAACTTGAATAAAACCGATTTAAATGCACTTTCTAAGCCCCTATTTACCTGAAGAAAAAGTTTCAGAACATCTAACACTTCACCCCCATTTCATTTCTACGACGTTCCTAAGCAAAAATATGTAAAGAAACAAGGAGGCAAAAAAGGAATAGGAACAATATATTTCAGGCAAATATCCTAGAATTACTCTTCTAGGTCTCTACATCGTCTGGCAGCTATGTATAGATTCGCTAATACTCACTGAGTGCTCACATTAAAATGCAGATTTCTTATATTTGCCTAACAAATACTTTTTAAATTAAAAGATAAATTTCATTTTTAATTAGTGAAGATAATCCTATGTATTATAATTATGTCGTTAATAAATGTATAATTCCGTGAAAAAAAGTTTCGAAATATTTGAATGGCAACATCTATTTCCTTCCTGCGTAAACAGATCAGCGCATCAGAAACCATAAATGGTACTAGAAGCATACACGCATGACGTAACTAGCCGGAGAAAAATATTTGCAAAGAAGGGCATTGTAAAGGACCGATGACAACACAAAAGACGAGAAGGGGGAAATTTTTATTGGGATTAAAAAGTTTTGAACACGTATAACGTTCAGCTCCCTTAACTTTGAAGTGGCGTGGCCACCGCGATCCCCCGACCTCACTCTGATGGATCTGGTTCTAGGTTGAAATAAAGCTAGAAGTTATACAGATGTCTTCTGCTTTATGTTCATTATTGTTGTCAACAATCTACCGCAAGCAATGCGCTGTCGTCTGAGAAGGTATACACTTTAAAATTTTACAATTTCAGTGAAAGATTTTTCCTTCTCCTGT